GGTGATTTTCATTTTAGTGCAAGGTGATTTTCATTTTAAGATTTAAAATACTTTTCTTTGTTTCACAAATTTTGAATTTCATTTGCACAACCTCTGAAACCTTCTAAATATATATATATATATATATATATACCCTTTTTTCAATAAAACGTTATATTTTACCTGTTATTACATTTATTATTTGATTCTTCAGCCTGTAGAAAACTCACTGAAGTAGAATGAAAAGAAAAATTGTAAAATCAGAAATATAATGGGCAGCTGTTTCCTTTTTCTTCATTATTGATCATGAAGTTTCAAAGTTCTTCCCCTGACAGTTTCAACTGCTAAACATATCCTATATATTTTCTGTGACAAATTACAAACCCACTGACAAAAAAGCAATAATTCACTGCCCGTGTCATAAAACTGTTTACGTACAACCGTAATACAAAACTCTTGAAGGCAAAAACGCACGCGTAGTCAGTGAGGTGACATTCCCCTTGCTCCGAGAACATAATATGGGATAAAGCACTTTATAGTTCCTACAACACTTTCAACAGGAATTTCCCAGGGTAATAAAATTGCAATTCGAATGTGTAAAAAACATTTATTACATGGTTCACAGTTGGGTTGATCTAATAAACATTGTAGGTTCTGAGCTGGGCTTATCCAATTACATAGCAGATGTTTCAGTACTATAGTTGCCCATTTGATGCGTGTGGAATTTCGCAGCATAATTATATGAAGGTGTTATTTGGGCACATTCTTATAAATGATACTACCCTCTCTCAGTTTCACCACACTTAGAAAGTAAATGAGAAATACACTGACAAACAATGATTTCAAGTACGGAACCATGTTACAAAATGTTGAGCTCGTGTATTGAACTTGCTAAGCCTTAACATAAGCCTTGTTTATTCTTCTGGGTGGAGGGGGTAGAGATACAAATTTTTTTAGGCTTTAAATATGAATTTTTGAAGACCAAAAAGTTATCAAATTACTGTACTAGTACACTCAAAATCCCTGTAATTTAGTCGGATCTCTAAATAAACTGTACGTGGGTAAAATAACATCCCATTCCTGTTCAGAGCAATGACTAAATCATCACACTTCAATGGTTTTGGCAAAATTATTATTTTCTCCTTCAAGCTATTTATAAACAACTGTCAGAGTTACGTAGGGGTGAAAATGTTCTTTCTATTGGTTATAAGCAGTAGCTAATTAGTAGTAGATGGTACTAAATAAGAGCTTTCAAAAGATTGGTGCAGTGGGAGGAGCCACTCTAGTAGACTCTTAAAAATATTGCTATCTCAGCAAATCATAGAGGAGGGAGGTTCTTATTTTATATTTAGCTTGTCTATATTTCAAATTTGAGTTTCTAATTCATTAGCTACTTATACATGTTGTATGGTTGGCATAATAAAATGTCAACTGAACAATAAGACTACTGGATGTGTTATGTGACACAAAATAGATATTTAACATTTATTTCTTTACATTTCCTTTTAAATTAAGAAATTAAAACATATATAATATCAAAAGTTAAATTATAAACTATGTTTTGATGCCAATTTCATTGATGTAAGTAATAAAAATGTTATTTAATAAAATTTTGAAAATAATGCTCCAAAACGTCATGACACGTGCACTTGAACCTACACGGGGCGAAAGGGCTAATAACAGAGTCTGCTTTGTTTTGGAAATATGTTCAATTTGTTAATGATATCCAAACATACTAATAGTAATAATAAAAACATTTTTATAGATGAACATAACTATGACATTTACTTTTCACTAGCATTAAACAATACACATATTGATCTATTTTGATTTACTGCACATAGATATTTTTAAGCCATCTTTTGCCAAGTGTCTATTTAGTAGTATTTACTCCTAACACAGAAATATAGAATATAGTGGAATTTGGCTTAATAAATTTTCTACTACAGATTTGTTTTCTTTGTATTACACAATAACCATAACAAATTTTCTAATGTAATTATTACTGTGTATGTGTGAAACAGAGGAGAAATGTTTAAAATAGTCTGCAAACAAGACTAAATTCAAACACCTGCTTTAAAGCCTGATCTTGACTACCAATATCTAAGTGATGAATTTTATAATCAGTTATTATTAAAATTACAACATTCCAAACAATATTTTTGACATTAAAACTTTATTTTATCACTTCTAATTGTTGTTTTAATTGTTACTAATTTCAATTTCACTTGACACAAATATAATACTTTCTTAAACCTCTAATCATTTCCCTTGCATTTCAACTACCTTAAGCCTTTACAGCCCAGTTGCAGAATAATGTCATTTCTTTATCTGCATTCATAAAATGTTAATAGCTCATAAATGTCACCATGTGGATGTTGCTGAACCTCAATTTTATTTTGATGAACTTACAACTTATAATGAAATAAAAACTACTATGTGTAATAAACCTATACACAGCATGGTCACAAGTAAATAGACACCACCTTTTCAGAGAAAATGAAATTTTCCAGTCATATTCACATGAATTGATATACTTATAATTTAATTAATATCTAGTAGATCTTTCTTTCGCTTCGTGGAGTTTGTTGATCCTTTGGGGCATCGTGAGAATTATCTCGCCAATTTTAGATTGTGGGATTTTTGCCCACTCTTGCTTCAAAACCATTTTCTTCCTGCCACTTTTAGATGTTTCTAGCAGTGTGACATGGTGCTCCATCTTCCTGGAACAACGTTGTGTTCTTGTCCAAGAAACCCGAGGAATAAAGTGGCAAGAGTCCTTCCTCCAATATTTCCT